CTTCATAGGTCTGTACTGAGTAATGTTTGAGCGTATGTCGAGTTGTTTAAAATAAGCTGAGCACCAGTGGCAGATCGTAGTAAAAGGAAACAGGAAAATACCACTGAAATACTTTTCTATCGATATGATGAGAGAATTTATTCTTCTGACGTGTCCTTCTTGACGTTACGTAGCTGTATTTTAAGCCCTAAGATGTGGAAGAGCATCTGTAGAAGCAGTAGTTCGTTATAAACGATTTCGGAGAAAAGAAAAATACGCGGCCAAAATCTATGTGGTTACTGAGATTCTTTTTGTCCTTTACATCGGTCTGTCAACGTATAGCGATACAGCAGTGCAGTGCTTTCATGCTGAATAACAGTAGCCGTGGAATATATTTGACAATACGCAACATTTAACGAATCAATTTTCAAACTTGCTGAGAAAACCTAGGTAAATTCTATTGGGAAGGTTATTCATTAAATTGATTAATGTATTCCACCTGAAGATACCCAATCGAAATAGGCATTAAAGAGGCACCAAAAAGGTATCCTCGCATTCTCTTTTCAAAGTAGATTTCTAAATTGATTTTCTGTTCAGCTACTGTCTCATAGATAGCGTCAGTGTCCAAATTCCTTTTTGGGCGCCAGAATATGGTATATGGTTGGATATCTTCAGGTGGAATACGTTAATCAATGGCAATGGGATATGTGTATCGGCGTTTTTGAAGATGCCTTGGGTGTTGACGGAATCAACCTAAATATGCTAACAATCATATTCGATTTGCTAATAGAAAATATAACTTTCATCATCAACTATGCAATTGCATCGTCAAACTTCCCCAACTTTTGGAAAAAAGCAAATGTTTTCCCCCTTAGCTAAAATAAGTAACCCTACAGATATTTCACATCTGAAGCCGATAAATATACTACCAGCATTTTCCAAGTTATTAGAACTAGCTATGAAACATCAGGTATCTGACTACATCTTCTCTAATGGTATCATCCTGAAATCCAATCGGGTTTCAGGAAAAACCACAGCACAACAACAGTTCTGGCTATCATCACGGATGACTTAATCAGATGTGCAGATCAAGGAAATTTAGCATGCTTAGTGTTACTTGATTATACAAAGGCTTTTGATACTCTGGAACCATCTGTTCTTGTGAAAAAGCGTATATACTTTGATTTTTCGGAATCTGCAATTAATTCTGTATTAAGTTATTCCACTGACAGGAGTCAGATGGTTGTGATTGGGTCAAATATCTCGGAGGAGATACCAGTTAAACTAGGGGTACCACAGGGTTCCATTCTGGGACCATTATTGTTCTCAATTTACATTTCTGACTGCCACGAGTACGTTCAACACTGTAGTATTCATCACTATGCTGACGACACTCAATTGTACTTTGGCTTTGATATTAAAGATTTAAAAAATGCCGAACATTTGATTAATGAGGATTTAATGAATTTACCCGCAGTTATATTTGGACCAAAAATCAAAAAAAGTCAGGCAAAACCATCACTATCATTGAGCATTTTAGACCAACCGATCCCTATAAAAAATGAGTGCAAGAATTTAGGACTCTGGATTGCCTCTGATTTAAGGTTTCAAAAACATGTTAGTCATCTGTGCCGAACATCATTCGGTGTCTTGAAGCAATTATTTCCTCATAGGAAAAGTATGAATACTGGTCTCAAGCTGACGTTGTGCGAAACATTAATATGGTCTAGAATTCTCTACTGTGACTGTATTTATGGACCTGCACTAACATCGATTGGGATAAGGAGACTTCAGACTATTTAAAATGCGTGTCTTAGATTTACTTGTTGAGTGAGAAAATTTGAGACAGTATCACAAAAATATCGTGTTCAAAAAATAGAAGAGCTACAAAAAATGCAGGTATTGACCTTGACCCATAAAGTAATCACAACACAAGCCCCTCCATCTATCAACCAAATTTATCAGATACTCAGATGTTAATCAACTGAACACAAATAATAAGCATATCTTGGTTATCCCGAGACATTCAACATCTCTATTTAGAAGGTCGTACATATATACTGCTATCAAGCTATACAACGCGTTGCCTACCGAGTTCACTCACTACTCTATAAAGAATTTCAAAAAAAGATTGAAGCATTTTATTTCTGATTTCATTGCCCAGTAAGTAGACCATGGCCGTCAATAAGGACTCGTTACAGGTTTTTTTTAACTTTTTTGTTTTCACTGGGATTAGATAATTTACACAAATATTTGTTGGGTTAAGTTGAAAAACGCTTTTTAGCGACACTTCGCCTTTTTATACTTTGTATAAAGAAAGCCGGATTATTATTATTTTTATTAATAATAATAATTTGTTGTGTGGAGCCCCCAATAGACTTGCTTTCGGCCCACGTACTAGTCCGAATCAGAATATCCATTATTGTGTTTGAAACGGCGGTATTTCGGCATATGATATATCGAAATCAGCCGCTTATTGGTATTAGGGGAAACCCTGTATAGATCGATCTTGAATGATCAGACTAAAATGAGATCGTCTAATATGTGGTATATTAAGAAGATGCACCGTAAACATATGATGATCAGAGTTCACAGTAGATAAAAATTCGACGCGCCCTATGATTTTATTTTAGTCTGATCGATAGTTTTCAGCCTTCAGTACATTATCTGCAACATTATTTGGTTTCTTTGCAATAATACTATTAGCTTAAGAATATTTTTCACTTTTATATATTGGTATGGTCCACGTATGATCCCTGTATAGAGAGCGTTCCATTTCGGCACAAATGTTGACACATAAGCGCCAAAGAGAATGTGAAGTTTCAATCGTGCTATCAAGACTAAACTAAGGACACCTCAAATGTCCAGATTCATCAAGCCGTTTGGGATGTAGTCCGGGAAATAAAAATTTCAATGTCGAAGTTTGTCGTATGTCAATGTTAATCAAATCGTTCAAGTTGTAGCCTGTGAAATAATTTTAAAGTTGAAATTTGCGATTAGAGTCTGCGTTTTTATTTCAGAGAATTTCAGTATATCCCATTTTAATCGCATTGTTAAGATAAATATATACCTCACATGTCAAAATTCATCTACTCATTTGGGCTGTAGGCGCTGAAATATAATTCTTGTACATACTGAGGCAGTCGGGCAATGACTAATTTTTGTATCATACTGTAATTTGATAAAGAGAGCTATAACATATTGAACGTAAATCATCAAATAAAACATCTTGTTTCCCTTCTATCCTATTTAAAACTGATCATTTATTCACTCCAACTGCAAATACCCGAAAACAAGGTTTATCTGCTACTACAAGCTGTACTGGGTGCAATCTTATACAGAGAAATCCAAATATCCAATAAATATGTTAGAAAGAGTGCGCGGATGGTACGCGGCAAGCCGCAACTGCGTCCGTGGCCTCGTCACTCGGGTTGCTTGGCAACGTGGTGCTTCTATCTCTTTCCAACATAGGTATCTTCTCGCGCTTCTCTATAGTACACATCACAACGTCAGTGGTATATGGATTTATCTGTATAATGACCCTGCCGCGATATATGATACCTGCTGATGCGGTATTGCAATTTAGAAAACAATGTGCCCTGGAGGGACCGTCCCTGGTCGGTCCGCGTGTTGCGTTTTTCGGTGCTGTCGTCTCCTTTTTGTCGAGCGGTGCTTCAGGTTAGCCGGCCGCGGCTCACGATTGGACAACTTGTTCGGCCGGTTATCCGTTCTGGTCTTCTTTTCCTCCAAGCCAGCTTCTTATAAAATGTCTTACTTCTCCATCGGTTGGCATTGTCCTTGGTGTATGTACTTACTAAGATTCTGCTCAATCTTATTGTCCCGTTCAGTTTTTTTTTTTGAAGTATAACTTTATCTATAGACTATGCGCTGGAGGAAGATGAGCAGGTGAAATATGCGCCTTGTTTAGCGTATGGAAACTCTCATAGAAACTAGCTAACGAATAGGTCAAGTACCAATAGTCCCGTGCTACATCCTTGTAAGTGTTTTCCGTTTCCCGCAGGTCTTTGCTAAGTTGTACCTGTTACTAATGAAAAATAATTTTATGGAAAAAATTTCAAGTAATGTCACTTTTCCAAAATGCATAATTTGTACAAGCAAATTTGAATTTTTTTGAGTAACGAGTAGTATTAACACGGAATGGTCAGCATTGATGCTTGCTAAATACCCAAATGTATGAACATCGCCCTCTTATTTGAATACAATGGCAAATAGTAATAAGACAGTAAAGGTAGGTGTGGAAAGCTGTCATAGAATCAGTATTTACAGTGATCCATGGCAGTGTATATATATATATTTGAATGTGATACTTACTGATCGTGATGCCTGGATGTCAATAATTATGTAGACGGTTACTTAATACGCAATACATTTTGAACTTGTAAAAACCTGAGAGTCGCAGTCTCAGAGCTTCGCTACCTTGCACTGACTTGTTCAATTCGTCACTCTATAAATACGAATGTGGGACAAATACGTTTATTCGTTTCCTGAATCTTGAAAAGGAAAGTGCTAAGAAAATATTTTAAAAAATATAAACAGATAGTATATCACACAAATGATAGTGAGTCAGTGTTATTTTGTTTGAGAGTGCTGGAGAAAAGTAAGTAAATTATTTTTTATTAAATTTTATTTAGTTTTGTACTCGTAGTTAGCAAAGATAGATAAATTACGCCAATCATGACTTTAGTTATTAGTAGTTAAATATTCAATCATGCAAAATTACAGGAGTACTCCTCAATAGTTTCTTTTTTTATAATTACAGTGCAATCTCCGTAATTCGAGCTAATTGTAGCAAGAAGATGTTCGAATTATGGAATGTTTTCGGAAAAATCAAAAAATATTTTTAATATACAGCTGCTGGATTTTCTGTCTTATTTAAATAATTTAATTTTGCCCACAGATGACTGATGCCATGTCCGAATCTAAAAAGAAATGTAGACAGTACAGTGTTGAATTTTTGAAATTTGGCTTCATTTCATCATTGCCGGACAAACAATGACGCTATGAAACCATCTAAACTGCAAGATCATCTGAGAAGATGCCACCCTGATAAAACAGAGAAAGATTTGAAATACTTTCAAACACTCAAAGATAAATTTCAGAAGAGACCTATACTGGACAGAATGTTCGCTTCGACGTCACAAAGTAACGATGATAGTTTGCGGGCGTCTTACAATATCTCGTTACTTATAGCAAAATCCGGAAAACCGCATACTATCGGAGAGAAGTTAATTATGCCAGCCGTTGAATAGGTTTTAAAAACTGTTTTACACAAACCTGCATCTGATACCATTAAAAGAATTCCCTTAAGCAACAATACTGTTGAAAGACGTATTGATGAAATGAGTTCTGATATTGAAAGCTTCTTATGTAATTATTTGCAAACGACTCATTTCTTTATACAACTGGACGAGTCAACTTTACCTGATAATGCAGCATTATTATTGGCATATGTTCGTTTTATTATGAATCAAGAAATCTACGAAGAACTGCTCTTCGCAAGAACTTTGATAACCGACACTAAAGGTGTATCAATATTTCATGTTTTGAAGGATTACTTTATTGAAAAAGCAATTCCTTTATCAAATATAATATCAGTAGCTACAGCATCTGCCATGGTTGGACGTTATCGTGGATTTATAAGCTATTCAAAACAAAATGTGTCAGGGGTGTTAGCAATACATTGCGTCATCCATCGACAAGATTTAGTTTCTGAAAATTTGAGTGTTAGATTGCATGAATCACTTCATTTAATCATTGATGCAGTAAACCGAATCCGAAGCAACGCGTTGAATACGCGGTTATTTGCGCAGTTGTGTGAAGAAAATGACGAACACAGTCATCAATTACTCCTTCACACTGAAGTACGCTGGCTGTCGAAAGGCTTATGTTTGACAAGATTTTTTGCACTTTTTGAGACTATTTTAGAATTTCTGGATACTAAAGATAAAAACATAAAAACAGACATCGCCTATTTACCAGATTTGTTTACAAAATTTAATATGGTTCATTTTCAATTACAAGGCGACAGTTTAAATTTGATTAAAACAAAGTCCATCTTATCAGCGTTTCTTGCCAGAGATAAACTAATGAAGCAAAATATTGGACGGGGCGAATTTTCTCAGTTCCCCAATTTGTCACAGACAAGCTGCCAGGAAGACGACGTTTCAACTTACGTTCAACATTTAAATGCCCTCTATTCAGATTTTGAATCTAGGTTTGAGGGTATTTTGACTATGGTAGTACCACCGTGGATAATTAATCCATATGGTGACATAGAAGAAACGAATGTCATAATACAAGAGGAACTGACTGAACTAAGTACAAACGAAGAAATTAAGGTTCAGTTTAAAAACGGATATTAGCAATTCTGGCTGCAAAACAATATACCCGTTACTTATCCCGTATTATGGAATTTAGCGAGGAATTTTTTAATTTCCTTTCCATCGTCATACCTAGTGGAAAGGGGGTTCAGCGCTGTTTACCAATCTCCTAGCGAAAAAAAGAAACAGACTGGACATCATTAGCCGAGGAGATTTAAGATTAACCCTTACAAAATTGACGCCAAATGTTGATAATTTATTATTAAAGCATCAGGTTCATCCTTTTCAATAAAAATATTGACTTATTGCTTATGTTATTTTATTTATAGTTTATTTTATGTTTATTGGTGTCTGACCAATAAATGCCCGCATTGGGAATAAGTGCCCGCATTTATTTTTTTAAAGAACCTCCCTTTATAGAAAATATTTTTTTTAAATTATTCTGAAAATTCAAGGATAGGTATACACTAAAATTCGTTAATTTTTGCCTATTTTTAGATAACTTAAACATATAAGAAGCGGAATTTAATCAAACTAACAGTGAAATTATTGTAGAACTTACGTTTATGTTATAATTAATAAACGAACTCGCTTATTGTACTATTTTAAGTATAAAACTTTTTTCTATTATTTTTCACTCTTTTTTTATTTTATCCCTCTTATTTTTTTTTCAATGCGGGCACTTATTCCCAATGCGGGCACTTATTGGTCAGACACCTGTTTATTTAATGTTACGTATATTTTACATAACAGATACAAAATTTTATTTTGAGTAGTTTTAATTTAAATTCAATTAATAAATGTATAAATTAACATGTGTTTTTACTTTAAGTTTTTAACACTAAACTTCACTACAGTTAGAAATTTACAGGAAATCAATATCAGGTAAGTAGGTAGGGTCTACCCAACACGGAAAAACATGGCAAGGGGTCTACGACACAAAAAAGTTTGGGGAACTCTGCCTTAGAGCATTGATCAGCGTAATCTACTTGGAAGATAGCCTACCATGTATTTTGGTAGAAAAAAGTTACTGAGACGAAATGAAATACCATGTCATCTATGAGAATTTATCACAACTATGTGTCTCCTCTCGGTAATAATTAGAAATCTACTTTGAAAAGGTTAGAAGGTTGTGGAGGTGGTAAATATAGCTGTGCAAAATTATCATACATTTCATGTTAATATTTTTTTGACATCGAAATACGGTATCAGGCTGAAAATCCCTCATGACTCTCTGGCCGAATCAAACCATAGATGTTTTTTTCTTTATTGTGCAACGTTTTGGTCCCAACGGTGACCTTCTTCAACTACAAGTGACACAAAAAAGTGTCAATTGTACTTGAATAAGCTCATCGTTGGGACCGAAACGTCGTACATTAAAGAGTAATTTTAAATAAATGTATGTGTTTGATCCGGCCAGATAAACATCGGGGATTATCATAAGTAATATCATAAGGGCATCTAATAATTCCGAAAAAAATCGAAAAAACGCGTTGCTAAGTAATAGTTTAACAAGAAGTTCGTTTTTGTTTTTAAAATTTTTTCACAGGAATAAATAAATATGTATATGATATAATTTGAAAACTGAAAAACCGGTAATTTTAGTTTATGCTGGAATGCCAGAGAGTTCTTATTACTGATAACGCTGATATAAACTGATTCAGAAAAAGTAATAGTTTCAAGTAGGTTGATTCCTGACACTGTCATCAGGCCAGGGATATATTCGGCACAAATTAGATTAATCAAGTCATTCCCCGACGCAGGTTTAACTACATTCATTTTATTGCATGTTATGTAATGGGCAAATGTATGAGGCAATCTATGATGTGCGAAATATGTTTTATGGGTTCGTACAATTATCAGTGTTGGAGTCTCCCCCACCGCCTGCAATCTCCAGCCCCCAATATTGAAAAAAAAACACGATATTTTTTTCGTCTTTTGCCTGCAGCTTTGCCGCTACTGAATCGTTTGTCAGAAACTACACAGCTTTTTAGTCTTCGGCATAAGAGAAACCTTGTGTCAAAATTTTAATGAAATCCGATCAGTACCTTCATAGATATAGAGGGCCCAATGATTAGCGGTCAGACACGGAAATGAGTGACATGGTTTTTTGTTTTAAATATGCCATATCATATCAAAAAAAAAAAATCATACTGTTTCATTTTTGAAATGTTACACGATTCCAGTACTTCCTCGCCAGTTGGCGTGGAAAGTAATTGCAGAAAATTTGGATTATGCCGCCGGTTCTTAGAATATTGAAGAACACGTAAAGCAGGAGATGTCAGTTGGTCGCTCGACATTAACTTATCACAACTAGCAATTACCTGGTAGAAGTAAATACATTCTGTTTCTAGTTCAATGCCAGTTTATCCCCTATACAAATATATCTAGGAAAGTGTCGCTCATGTTTTGATAAAATTTTCATACAAGGTTACTACGCCAAGGACTGAAAAGCTTTGTAGTTTTTTGGACATCGGTTCAGTGGCGGCGGAGCTAGGGGTAAAAATGTCCAAACTTCGTGTTTTGATGTTTCAGAAAAAGAATTGTGGGGGGTTAAAAATTGGGATATGGAGAGAGGGAATATATCTCATTTTTTTATGTTCGTATACTTACATGCCCCAACCCCGGAAATTCTACTTAATTATTAGGCATATTGCACAAATCATAGATTTTCCCGTACACTTGCCTTCAAAACTTAAGAACAATAGGGAATGTTTCCGATACGTGTGCTGCTTCTGCTCTGTGTTCATCGGCGGACGTGCCGATCTGGTTTACTGTTCTGCCCGTAGTGCAGCGGTACCGCGGTGGCCGCTTCCGCGTCTGCCGTGTCGTGCGATCAATTATGGGAAGACGCAACGTTGCAAGATGGACGGTACTATCGGTAGGGCAGGGAAAGAACGTTACGGACAAATTGTAGGAGCCTGTTTGACTGACTTGATCCGTTTAATTCTTCTGTTTAAATGTTTAATCAGAGGGTTTATTTTGTACTGAACTTAACGCCAATTTGTTTCTGAAAAAAAAAACGTAAGAACTATGAAGTCACAATGTTTTGCCCGAAAAGGTAGCGCGTTCGAAATGTAGCCGGATTGTATCCCCTCAAACATTATAAATTCTTTTCAAATGATGTAGTTATATTTTGTGCTTATTTTCACGAAAATATTAAAAACGATTCTTGTCTTGCTCTCTGCCTCAAGCGTGCTTCTGCCTACGTCACTGGGTACTATACCCACACCACGCTGTCATAACTCAAAGCCCAAAACCCACCAGACAATTCGGTTTTATGTGAACAAGATTATTGTAATTTAGGTGCAATCAATTTTTTAGGAACAATTTACCTTTATTACGTACTCAAAGCATGGGTGCCTTGCGTTCGTTTCTTTATAGCTTCTTTAGGCGTGCTGTGCAATCACCTCATCTGCCGTGATGTCTTGGCTTGGCCGTCTCACCATCCCATTATGGAACATGTAGGCCAACGGGCTGCGGGAAATATAATTTTCGGAAATTTCTTAGAAATCGGAGAGCCAATTTGTACCGTACATGGTTCGTTATTTTCAAATTAATGACCCCACGCGAGAGTATACACATGAACACATGTGGGCTCTGTTATAATGAAGCAATAAAAATATGACCATGTATGAACGTACTTCAAGAGGTCAACGCTTCATGATAAAGTACAAAAACCGATAAGTGCCGCTGATGAACTGTTTTATGAGTTCCACTTCGGACTTTCATTATTTACAAAATTTGCACTTTATATTTCGCGAATGATGATGAAACTTTAAAAAACTATTTTTCTCTAGTTCAGAGAATATTGCTTGTGTAAACTAAAAGTCGTACGTTTTTATTTCCGACGCCCATTGGGGAAGTATTGAAATCGCGAAACTTTTCCAAAATGAGATAATAATTTTTACACAATGTTATCTACTACT